TGTGACGACCCCGGGCTGGACTCCGCTTCGTCCACGGTGAAAGCCGATCCGGTGATCCACAGCAAGAAGTTGTTAGGTGTGGCTGACTCTGAACTTTTATAAAGAATATCTCTTTGGATTTGAGAAACAGACTAGACTAGACTATAGTAGAATAGACTATAATAGAATAGAATAGAATAGAATAGAATGTGGCATATAATAGCATATGATATAATAGATTGTAGCATAATATGCCATAATATAGAATAGAATAGAATGTAAATTAGACTTGATTAGAAGAAACAGACTAGACTAGACTGGAATAGATTAGAATAGAATAGAATAGAAATTAGACTCAATTAGAAGAAACAGACTAGACTAGACTAGAACAGAATAGAATGTGGCATATAACAGCATAAGATATAATAAAAGTGTAACAGACTAGATTTCAAAAATAGCAATACAGAATAGAATAGAAAATAATAGAATAGAACAGATCTTAAAATGTGGGAATATAAAATATCCCATAAATGCGAGTTTGACTAAGCGAGTGTTTGCCATGCAGTGATAGGGTGTCATTGTGGTGTGTTGAATCGACACAGGTGTAGTCATGGGTGTAGTCCACACAAACACAAACAGGGAAAGCCATGCGTTTACTCACACAGTTTAACCTTTAGTCTCTCTTCAGACCAAGCAATCCCCAAATTACCCTTTAAAGTGAGTCAGATCCCAACACACAGCAACAGCATTCAAACACTTCCCTCATCCGTCCGCCGTAGGCAAAGTCATGAGCCTGGCAGAGGCACTAATCTACATCTGTTCTATTTCTCCTTCATCCGTCCGCCGTAGGCAAAGCCATGAGCCTGGCAGAGGCACTAATCTGCATCTGTTCTATTTCATATCTGTCTGTGTCTGACCGTCTGTCTGTCTGCCCAGCCCACCCCTCACTCCGTCTCTCTCTCTCTCTCTCTCTCGCTCTCTCACAGAGCACATTACGCCCCGGGGACATTTTTTTCACCAGATGTTCCTCTAAAGGAAGTACTTCAGCATGGGTTTGTTGCCACAGTTGCAACTCAACACACAGCAACATAGCAACTGTCCCACACCGACTGCTCTGAACTTCAATGCGTGCGCGCCGCCTCTCTGCCACGGCCTTACATATTGAAAATGTTATGCTAACGCAAGGCAAATATTAAGTTACCCCAGTTGCCAAGGGCTTGTTGTGTGTGTGTGTGTTATAGTTGGGCGTAGGAGATAGAAAAGAGAGATATTGTGTTAGAAGTCTTTGTCTGTGTAACAGATTAGTTTGTTATTGTTAACATGCAGTCTTATTGAGTCTATGGATCTCAAACCAGTCGTGCACCATAGGCACAGAACAGTCAACCCTGACACAGCAGAGCTTTATGATTAGCTTACAACTCTTTACAAATGATTCAACTAAAACTGCCACGATTTTAAACTTGAATGAGGCAACAGGTTGTTGGTAACAAACGCAACGAGGAGATGTTTGGAGATCAGTTTTCTTTGAGAGAAATTCTGGTTGATGTTACACTGTAGGTCAAGCTGAGAGAACATCCTGCACTTGGTGGTTGTAATATGTTTTATTTACTATTTTTATAATTTTCTTTTATAAAAAAGTAGACAGATCGTCAAGACAGACTGTTGAATAGATGATAGATAGAAGATAGATAGATAGATAGATAGATAGATGGACAGACAACAGTCAGATAGATAGATAGATAGATAGATAGATAGATAGATAGATGAGGTGTTTCAGTAGTATTCAGGTAAAGGCAGAAACTAAAGTATTGCTCTATACCGCCACCTGCTGTATATACACACTCACAACACAACACAACACAACACAACACATGTGTCTGTTGTGCTGCCTTCACCTTTATTCAGACAGACAGTTTATCAGTCCTGCGAACATCACAACAGCCAAACTATGACTTTCTTTGAAAGTCACTATGTGAAATGCCACTTCGTTCAGTCCAAAGTCCTCCGTCGGCATAAATGAGTTACAGAGCGGAATGTTTTACAGCTCAGTGGAACGAACGTCTGTCTGCAAATCCTTTCCTTCCATTTCCTCAGGCTTGAAATGAGTTTATGTTAACTAATTTCACTCTTACGCAACTGTAGGCTGGAATTACCAGTCTACACATGGTTTAAATTCACATTATTTATATCTCATCATTTCACTAATATGGAATCTGTCTGCTGTATTCATGTATCATGAGATATTAAATGTTTATGACTACAAGTCTAGAATTAAACACATCAAACGGTGATTGCTCAGAAGCTGCTCTTTCGCAGCTTTTCCTAAAACTTCCCAATGAGAAATAAAAGTCTTAGGCTATTTGGCTAAAATGAATGATTCTGACAGCAAAGCTCATATAACTTAGTCGTGGAAGAATCTTATGAGAATCATTTGAGTTCACTTTCAGATGTATGACTTTTAATTGCATACAAAATAGGATGTTTCATATGATATTATAAAGAGATTTCGTTTCTGAATTTGTTTTATTTTCAGTGCGTTTGCGTGCCACATGGTACTTTATAGTGTTCCCCAGGAACGTTCTCAGAACTTTGGCTAACGTTCTGAGAAAGTTCTCTCGAATTGATTAACGAACATTCTTCCAGTAACGTTAATAGAACGCTTGTTTAATGTTATCTGGCTTTAAATAATGTTTTCAAAACATTGTTAACCATGTTAGCTCAAAAACGTTATTTATGCATTGTTCAGTGCGCTTTTTTCTGAGCCGTTTCAGCTTTATGTTACTTTTTAGAACGATAAGCGAACATTCCATTTTATAATTGAGCAAACATATGTTCCCATAAATTTTGCTCAATTATAAAATGGAATGTTCCCTTAAGGTTCTAAAAAATATATTATTATTATTAAAAATGGGACGTTCAGAACAAAGTTTTCATAACATAAGAGCAAAACATTTTTACAACATATTTTGTTAGCCGGGTACCATGGTGCACATCCCCAAAAAATACAGTTTTACTTTGGTATCATGTCCAAAAAATGTTGTAACATGATACTTTTAGTTAAGTTAGTGCTGATGGTGGTCAATCCTTTTTTCATACACTGCATCAGCGGAATGTTTTACAGCTCAGTGGAACGAACGTCTGTCTGCAAATCCTTTCCTTCCATTTCCTCAGGCTTGAAATGAGTTTATGTTAACTAATTTCACTCTTACGCAACTGTAGGCTGGAATTACCAGTCTACACATGGTTTAAATTCACATTATTTATATCTCATCATTTCACTAATATGGAATCTGTCTGCTGTATTCATGTATCATGAGATATTAAATGTTTATGACTACAAGTCTAGAATTAAACACATCAAACGGTGATTGCTCAGAAGCTGCTCTTTCGCAGCTTTTCCTAAAACTTCCCAATGAGAAATAAAAGTCTTAGGCTATTTGGCTAAAATGAATGATTCTGACAGCAAAGCTCATATAACTTAGTCGTGGAAGAATCTTATGAGAATCATTTGAGTTCACTTTCAGATGTATGACTTTTAATTGCATACAAAATAGGATGTTTCATATGATATTATAAAGAGATTTCGTTTCTGAATTTGTTTTATTTTCAGTGCGTTTGCGTGCCACATGGTACTTTATAGTGTTCCCCAGGAACGTTCTCAGAACTTTGGCTAACGTTCTGAGAAAGTTCTCTCGAATTGATTAACGAACATTCTTCCAGTAACGTTAATAGAACGCTTGTTTAATGTTATCTGGCTTTAAATAATGTTTTCAAAACATTGTTAACCATGTTAGCTCAAAAACGTTATTTATGCATTGTTCAGTGCGCTTTTTTCTGAGCCGTTTCAGCTTTATGTTACTTTTTAGAACGATATTTGACTTTATAGTATAAAAAGTCATGTTCTCCACACACTAATAATGAAAAAATATCATATAATATAAATAAAAAATAAATTCCAAAAAAACATTTTTTCTTCTCAGTCCCAGGGGGATAAACACAGACTAAAGTCATTAGAGCTGATTAAATTTTAGGACAAGCGCTCGGATTAACACCCTGCCCGCGTCACAATGCAACCCTGCTGGGCGCGCGCTGATTGGACAGACGCTACTCTCTGCGTTCTGCTGGAGATACAGGCGAACCGAGCGGATCAGTGTCCTGGATACAAACAAGCAAGCCCTGTCCAGATTTAAAAAGTAACGCAAAAGTAACGTAACGCATTACTTTCCATAAAAAGTTACTAAGTAACGTAATTAGTTACTTTTTTATGGAGTAACGCAATATTGTAATGCATTGCTTTTAAAAGTAACTTTCCCCAACACTGTGCATCAGTATACCTTGATTTTCAATTATGTCTTGTAAACTAACATTTTAGGAGTTTTTCAGTGAGTTATATGTCGATCGAATATTATATTTGACTTTATAGTATAAAAAGTCATGTTCTCCACACACTAATAATGAAAAAATATCATATAATATAAATAAAAAATAAATTCCAAAAAAACATTTTTTCTTCTCAGTCCCAGGGGGATAAACACAGACTAAAGTCATTAGAGCTGATTAAATTTTAGGACAAGCGCTCGGATTAACACCCTGCCCGCGTCACAATGCAACCCTGCTGGGCGCGCGCTGATTGGACAGACGCTACTCTCTGCGTTCTGCTGGAGATACAGGCGAACCGAGCGGATCAGTGTCCTGGATCCCGAACCGAGCCCGAGCGCTCGGGCTTTCCGTGGTGGATCTGCGTGGAAGATGGCAGAGTTGAGCGCAGTCCGACACGAACTTGTGAGTATTTTCATAATGAAGAGTGCCGCGGGATTTCTGGGCACTGGAAGCCGTGTGTCCTGCTTCTTCACACATGGAAACAAGTTTGCCAGCAGCGAGAACCAGACTAGAGAACTCGCACGCATTGATGTTTTGTGTGAAGAACAAATTCGGCGCATAAACAGTTTGTTTTCAGTTATGTCAAATGTCATTGGTTCTAGGATGTTTTTATATTTACCTGACAACTTTAAATATGGTGGATCTGCGTGGAAGATGGCAGAGTTGAGCGCAGTCCGACACGAACTTGTGAGTATTTTCATAATGAAGAGTGCCGCGGGATTTCTGGGCATGGTTTTTATATTTACCTGACAACTTTAAATATGCTGAAGCGCACAGAGATTTGTGAGCACAGATTTTCAATAAGCAATGATTTAGATTCAGAATACTTGGAATATAATTATTATGGGGTGCTTTTAGAATATATTTATGGTGCCTTTTGTTCTCTGGGGGCTTGACAGCTCCAATCTCCATTCACTTTAATTATATATCCTTCCAGACCTGTATAAGATAATGTAATTGTAGACATAGACATGTTTAGCAGAATGTTGACAGCTCTCTTACAATGGGAGTGAATGGGGACTGGAGCTGTCAAGACAGATGTGCTATGTTATCTTATGAAGCCACACAATAGTTTTGTGTGAGGAAAAAGTTTGTTGCATAAACACGTTTGTATTCAGTTTGTTAATTGGATATCTTGATGTTTGTGGATGTCTTGATAGTTTCAATGATTTAGATTCAAAAGACTTGAACTTTATTTAATATGGAGTATGTTTAGGATATGTTTCTTTTAGTCCTATGAGGGCTTGACGCTAACTCCAGTCCCCATTCTCTTTCATTGTGTGTAAAAGAAAGCAGCTCGGATATTGTGCATTTGTATGTTCCCTGTGTCATTACCATTTAGTGAATCAGTGTTTCCACCTGTTCAGTGCTGTGTATCTACACATGCAATTTGCATGTTTTTTTGCACAAACGGCCGTCTCTTAACTTCCTGGTTGTGCTTTATCCACCACAGAGAACCAGAAATCGGAGCAGTTCTTTCGGGGAGCCTCAGTGTAAAGATGAGCAACAGAAACTGGTAATGACCTGACAGACTGGGTTTTGTTTATATGTTCATGTTGTGTTGTCTCATGTCGCTGTGCTGTGTTTGACAGGCCGTGCCGTTCTGCGGCGGCATCCGGGGCGGACTGAGACCGGGGAAGAAAATCACGATCATGGGCGTCGTGAATGCAGATCCGGACAGGTAGCTTTTGTCAACACACACACACACACTCACAAGTGCTCACACACGTGCGGGACACACCCTGAGAGACACAGCTGTCATGTGCTTCATCTTATCTGTATAACTTAAGCGATCAAAGCTTCTAGCTAGTTAACTAGGAATGGGATGCGAAAGAAAAACTTCAGATAAAATCACAGCGTCTAGAAGATGACCTCCTGTATTCTGTTGTTTCGGGTTTTAACTCCATGTTGAATGTTTCTGCTCTCTCTCTGGGGCAGATTTGACATCAGTCTGACGTGCGGCTGCGGGGACGTCGCTCTGGATATGTGCGTGCGGTTCGAAGACCGGGAGATTTTGCGAAACGCCTGCGTTTCTGATAGCTGGGGCGAGGAGGAGAGGTCAATACCCTACTTGCCCTTCATCGCAGAGCAGCCTTTCAGGGTCAGTCATCATCTGAATTCAACAGAATGACCTCATGTTTTGTGTAGGGATACATATTTGCAAAACTGAATGATTGGCTGTCTACTAAATAGTTGACTTGTTGGTGTTAATGAAGGCTTGTTAACCCTATAAACATGAAATAATAGTCAGAAAAAGTGGTAACAATTTAGTATAGGGACCAATTCTCACTATTAACAAGTTGCTTATTAGCATGCATATTATTAATATATTGGCTGTTCATTAATACTTCTAAAGCACATATTCTGCATGACCATATTCTACATCCCTAATCCTACCCAATACCTAATAAGCAGCAATAACTATTAATAAGCAGCAAATTAGGAGTTTATTGAGGCAAAAGTTGTAGTTAACGGTTTGTTAATAGCAAGAATTGGACCTTAAAATAAAGTGACCGAAATGTATTTATTTTTTTTTAGAGACCTTTGTTCATCAAATATGATACAGTAGTCTTTATGGGGTTAATTGAGGCTGGTTTAGGGTCATGCTGACTGTACACCACTGTGCAACACCAAGATCATGGGTTCAATTCCCAGCAAATGCATGAACTGATCAAATGTATAAAGTTAATCGCTTTGGATAAAAGCCTATTGCATAAATGTAAATATATAGAGTGACTGATGAATATGCAAAAAATAAATAGTCTAAATAACTGTTTATTGCATGAAACTCTCATGGTCCTTACGAAACAGCAGGAACATGAACATGCAGTTTGAAGCTGTAGTTGACGTTTATAATGGCGTTAGTCAAGTCAAGTCAAGTCTGCTTTATTATCAATTCTTCCACATGTACAGCACATACACACAGAGAATTGAAATTGCGTTACTCTCAGACCCTTGGTGCATACAGATATAAAAAAATATATATATAAAGCAGCACACGGCAGATAGAGTGCAAACCGGTGAAGTAAACAACAGTGCAGATATAATGATTTGTAGTGCAAAAGAGCTTATTCAGACTGATTAAAGTGACAGTTTTCTCTGTAGTTTTCTCTCTTGTTGTTTGTTCAGGTTGAGATTCATTGCGAGCACCCGCGCTTCCGTGTGCTCGTGGACGGCCATCAGCTCTTTGACTTCTACCACCGCGTGACGCCGCTGGCGGCCATCGACACCATCCAGATCAGCGGCAGTCTGACCATCACCAAGCTCAACTGACGTCTGCTGCGTGTCGTGAATCCAGCTTCCCAGCAGCCCGTCCGTTCAGAGCATTAAAGACTGTCTGTGATAGCGAAGGACGCTCCAGAATCATCTAGAACTGATGAATTGATGCATTTCGAGCTATAAGGAGGCATTTCTTTTTATGAGCATCACAATTCTCAGTAGCATTTTAGCAGAAGTCAACATGAAATGCCATTCGCATCCAATTGTTTTTTTTTTGGAGTGCAACGGGATATTCAAATAGAAAAAAAACGTAGGGCGGGACTTGATTTTGATGTATTTTTGATGTCCAACCCATAAGTTCGCATCATCCTGGTCCTTTTGTCAAAAACTCAATAGGATTTTCCATTGGCTTTTGGATTATTGCAGAAAAAAAGCTCTGTGACTCATTTTGTTCAATATGATAATCTTGACAATCAATTTTGAATCCTAAACATCCTAAATCACCAAAAGTAAAAAACTAAATGTAAACTAACTACAACGAGATCATGTAACTTCAACATTTTCGCTGAAAGTTTGAGTTAGAGTAGTTTGCACGAGCACAATGAGGCTGTGAAAGCGACTAGTGAGTAGATGAGTTTAACCTCTGCGGTTAAATGTATGCAATTGTTAGCAGTTGCGATAAAATGTGAAAATATCATGAGCTTGTGTTCACCACTGAGCTTCTTTCAGGAATTAAACCAAAAACCCATTCAGGAAACTAGTTGACTTCAGCTCTTCAGCTCTGGATTTCAGTGCTAAAATGCCACTTGTTTCATAGTTTTAAACTACAAAAATAGTGCAGTGCACTATTAAGTGACATCAGTAGAGGAATTTCAGAGGAAGAACAAGTTATGAAGACAAAATATTAAACATATATTAAAAAATAATATTAAATATAAGACCAAGAGCATGCATTCAGAAAGTAAAAAGGGTCCGTTTGCATTTCATGTTGACTTTATGGCATTAAAGTGGAGATGACAGAAATGGAGAAATGTAAGATGAATGTTGCATTTAACAACAGCGTTTAACAATGTACAGCTTCAGTGAATAGCGATATATGAACGTACTGCCTGAATTTACCAGTGTAGCTCTCCAGCTAATGTACTCAGGTGGAAACCCCAAAGAGGTTTGTTTGTTTCTTAAATACGTGTATATAACATAAACAGGGTGATTTGAGAGTTGCATCTGTCTTACAGCAATAGTGATCTTTCCATTGGAATTCCACTGACAAGCACTTAAAGGAACACTCCACTATTTTTTAAAAATAGGCTCATTTTCCAACTCCCCTAGAGGTAAACAGTTGAGTTTTACCATTTTCGAATCCATTCAGCCGATCTCCAGGTCAGGCGGATATTATGCAGGCAATGATAGTACGCAGTGCCTGAAAATAGTCCCAGCTAGGTAACTTCCAATATTTTCAGGCGCTGCGTAATATCATTGCGCCTGCTGCACCCATGGTACGGCAGCAAAGTCCCTTGATTATTACGCCGTAATGAGAGTGTAGTTCCTAGCCATATCGGCCTAGAAAATTGCAACTTTTCATTTTCCATCGATCTTAGTACACGATGTAACTACAGAAGAGACAAGTTTTAAATAGGAAAAATATCGAAACTCTTTGGTCATTTTTGAGCGAGATGCTAACGGTCTAATCAGATTCAATGATCTATGCTAAGCTACAGCTAAAAGTGCTACCGCCAGACCCAGAGATCGGCTGAATGTATTGTCAGTGATGATTGTAGCAGGGCCGGACACACTGTTGAGTAATATTGTAGATCATTTGCATGAATCAGGTGCTTGCAGAAAAACACTCTAAAGTTAGCTAGTTATCTTGAGGTGCACGGAGTATTTGGTGTATACAGAAAGATATTTCAAACGTGCAAATGACTGGTGTGCTGCACTCCTGTTACTAAACGATCTCATCCGTTCTGGAGAGTTTAATTTTAGTGTTCATGGAAGAGTCTTCCTGCTGTTAAACTCCTGCCTTCGGTTTTCCTGTTGGCTTTCTTATCTCTGCTCTGCTCCCTGATGATTATGTCTAGTATAGTAGAGCTGTTTCTTAATTGTACTGCAGTATGTTACAGTGACTGTATTAGATGGTAATGCCGTGGTACTTGCTAAGGCTCTGCTTGATTTGGACTGGTAAGCAAAAACGTAGGAAAAGTTGATTAAAATAAAAATTTACTAAATAAATAAAATAATGATAATAAAGATATAGATATGCTAAACAATAGATAGATAATAGATAATAAATAATCAAAACAAATAATACAGATAGCAATACAGTTCTATAATGAGTAGAAAAAACTCAATGTAACTTAATAGAAACTGAATATTTTTCTAATTATATTTTGCACATTTGTATAATATTAATTGTTACTGTAGGCCTATAATTGGGGTCTTTAGGCAAAGCAGTGTAAAAAAAAAAGGTGATTAAGATAAAAAAAAATTGATTAAAACAAATTTTAAATGGTTAATGTAAATAATAAATAGTAGAATAAAATTAGATTAAAATAAATAGATGTAAAAATTACATTAAAATAAACAAATAAACAATACATAGAGCAGTAAAGCACTATGCTGAGTAGAAAAATAAACTTAATGTAATGTAACAGAGACACGATATTTTCCAGATTGTATTTTACACATATTTATAATGTTATCTCTTCACTGTATGAATTGTGTCTTTAGACTAGGCAGTGTAAAAAAATAATAACAAAAAAATTAAAGTATGATATAAATAAATTAGTGCTGTCAAACAATTAATCGCGATTATCCAAAATAAAAGTTTTTGTTTACATAATATATGTGAGTGTTCTGTGTATATTTATTATGTATGTCTAAATACACACACATACAGTACATATTTTGAAAACATTTACATGTATTTGCATGTATATATTTATAGTAATTTAATTGATAGTATATATAAATATATTTAATATATAAACATTACATATTTTCCTTAAATATATACATGCGTGTGTGTGTATTTATATATACATAATAAATATACACAGTACACATATATTATGTAAACAAAAAACTTTTATCTTGGATGCGATTAATCGCGATTAATCGTTTGACAGCACTAATATAAATACATTTCATATGAATGAAAACAGAAATTACTAAATAACTTACTAAACTAAATAAATAATAACTTATATTTAACTAAAATATATTTAAAAATGACATTAAATTAACAAATAAACATAGAACAGTACAGTATAATGAGAAAAAAATAACCCAAATAATATTTGACACATAATTAAAATATTATTTGTTCAGAGTAGAAACTGTGTCTTTGTAAATAGCCTTTTTGCGCACATGAGGATTATCGTATCTGAGGGTCCACGAGTGCTGGGTTTAGTTGATTTCTCCCAAAGCAGCCTCACCCAATCAACACGAGAGTCCAGCAGTGCCACACCAGCGCGTGGTGCATGCTGGGTAATACTCGGAAAAAGAGCAGGATCCACAGACACTCTCGTACTCACACACACACACACACACACACACACACACACACAGAGACAGAGCGGATCTCCCGTGACGCCGGAGCGCGGGATGCGCTCGTGAGGATGGGACACTTCACTCCGGTCTCGTGAGGTAAGAAGATGACTGACAGCTGCGCGACAGCTAGCCGTTAGCACCGAGGCTAGAGCTAATGTTAGCCTGCTAGCTTCACCCGTGTTAATCAATGGGTTCTGATGCTACACTGAGCTGGTATGCTAACAGACCGAGTTTGCTCTACTCAATCACTTGTGGAACAATAACACGACTCTTATGGCAACTTAATGTCATTGTTTAGACAGAAGCAGCTCATTTTGACTGAATTAAACACCGTATTTTATGCTGTCAGGTGTAATTGCACTGCTGTGATCAAGCTAACGGCTAACTGCTAGCCGTAATGTAAACATATCCAAAACCGATTTGATTCTTAACAGCTGTGATGAATTGATTTAGTAACTTTACTCCTAAAGTGTGTCTTATGCACTTAAATGCTGTCATTTAGTTTAGAAACTATGTTATTTATAATCGTTATGATACTACATTTTAGTCTTGATATGTGTAATACGAATATACAGTTATAATTATAGATATTATTTATAGATGTAGTGTATCCTTATAAGAAAATAAGAGTATCACTGTCAATCTGATAAAATGCATGGGAATTTTTAATTCGCACTAATATAAACTAGAGGAGTAAAATAATTAAGTTGGACATTTGCTATTGCGTTCTGATAGTAAAGTTGTTTTGTATTTGTGCTAGATTATAGAAATCTGCATTTAAAATGGTGTAAGCGTAAATGGTAGTTTAGCACAAATTACTTTCTGTTCCTGTTTTAATCTTCCTGTTTTTAAAAGTATCAGTTTCATAATAATTATAAAATGAATACACAGTTATGATTATTACTATCGGTTATTTACAAAAGGTTTTATCCTTACAGGAAAGTTGAGTATTACGGTCAGTCCCATCAAATCTATGAAGCTGTTTATTGCGTGATATATCTTAAATTGATTTACAGTAATATAAATCAGAGGAGTACCGTAATTAATTCATTTGGAAATCTGTTGATGCTTTCTGATAGCAACATTGCCTTTTTTTGTGCTATAAGATGTCCATAAGACGTAGGTCACTTAAGTGGTGTGAATGTAAACTGAGGTTTGGCAAAGTTTGCACAAGTGTCACTCTGTCATTGTTTGACCCACCTTTGAGCAAACAGCACTGACGAAGCTCCCAGCTGAGGTCTACAATAGACCATTTAAAAGCCCTGTTTTATTTGGTTTGTGCTTTTGCACTCCTTTGTAAATTATTGCATTGAGTGACATGGATTTTCCGGATTGATCTGGTTACCCTGCTGCACTCAAGTGACCACTTCTCCCATTAGCACTTAATTAGCGTCTGATTTGAAGACAGTCTGTCTTGTTTTTACTCTTGTTGATTTGATTTGAGTTAGACAACAAGAACCTGTTCCTGTAAATAGGCCCTTGAGCACTATCATAATGAGCGCTGCCAACAGAGGGCGATTGCTTAGCGGTGTAACAATGGTGATCAGTGGTTTGTATAAAGAAAATAAGCATACATCTTATTCATGTCAAGATTAAGAAGATTTATTGATGTGGTTGTGTCCTCAAAAGCGGCTTGATGTACTGAAGCACAAACGGTGTGTGATGATTTACTCAGTAGTTTAATATTTAGGGCGTAAAGCATTTGCAGAGCAATAGCAAAAGTGTTGCTTGTCTTTGCAAACACCAGTAATTAGACGTAGGATGATGCTGATGTACAAAAACGAGGCTTAAGTTCATTAAAGACGAAGCATGAGTGATAATGCAGCGTCTCCCTGCTGTTCTCACTGTTGCGATTAAAACATGCAGCGTTGCAGAAGAGCTGATTTTCTGTTGCTGTGTCAGAAATAATTTCCAAACGACTTTTTGCATTTCACATTAAATCTAATTATGGTTTTGGACTGATCCTGGGGCATCCTGACACTTTAATTATATTAGTAGCTGTCTCATCGTGTTACATGCATTGTAGGGCTGCGCGATTCGGGGGAAAAAACCTATCTGTGATTTTTCTGATAATTTAAAAAATGTGATTAAAAAAACAATTGTGACTATATATATCAATATGACTATAATAATTGTAATTTTTATTATTATTACTAACTAAAAATATTAAACAAAACAATAACTATTACTATTGTAATATTTCAGTGTAGCATTTAAGAAAAAAAAATAATAATTTTACTTTACAGTACAGCTATAGCTTTTATTTTGGTGGAAAAACAGCCTTTTTTTTAAAAGCTCTTTTATTGATAGGCACTTCTCATTACAAAATGGGAAGATGATTGGTGCATGTTGCATTTTCAAATGCATGTTATCTTATGCGACACAAACTCAGATTAGTAGCGTAGATTTTGATGTGGATTAGCATTGACTGTGAACCAGATCATGTTTTGCTTGTGTAAATGAACACAGTGCCACACGTTACTCTGAAACACGCAGTAGGCTATGTGTATTCAATTAAATTGTATACTTTGCATTGCAATTTGATAATTGCACCTATCCATAATGAATTTTGTTTTTATTTTGATTAATCGTGCATGCATTAGGGTTGGGCCGATAGACGATGCCATCGTCCATCGCCAATGGCTGATAGACATCACGATGTTGAGCCAGCATCGTGATCCCCCCCCCATACCCCCCGCAATCCGCCGCATCCCAATTCCATGTTCGGAAAGAAAATTAAGTGTACTACAGAACCCCTAAAGGGAATAAATAGCCTACGAGATGGGAGGATAAAAAAATATTTCAATACTTTCAACGCAATATCGTTGGGTAATTATTAGGGATGTGCGGGTCTAGTCGACTAGTCGACTAAACGATACAGCTCCTACTAGTCGACACTGAAAACAATAGACAGAAAAAAAAAACCCATGACTTTATCATTCAAATTACCATCATTTTAACATTGCATTTAAAACATTTTAAATAACGAGTTAAAATAAAACATGCGTTTTCTTTGTGTCAGTTGCGGCGAGTTCAAAAACGACCATGCGAAAGACGAGAAGGTGTGCGATTATTTTGAATTAGAAGGAAACGGAAAAGTTTTGTGTAAACTGTGTAATGTCAAATTGTCTTACAATAACTCTACTGGAGCGATGCGTAATCATATTCCATACAGGCACGTTGGCGTTAGCTTAGAGGCTGTCCAAATCCAGCAAATGTCAATTGAATAAATAAGCTATGCTTTGATCGACGTTGAGTGTATGCTCTTCTTTTATTTCTTTTTAACGACCACCTAAAATGAAATGAAGTGTGCGGCAAGTGGAATTCATTGAGGGATTTGCCAGTGCAGGGGCGTAGATTTAGTTTAAACGACAGTCAAATTAGTCGTCGCGCACATCCCTAGTAATTATACTGTATATAAATAGCGGGCATCAGGGAGCCGCTACTAATATGCGGGGCATTGAAACCGCTTTCGAATGCGCGCTCTCATTTTACTTTCACTTTCGTGATTCGCGATCACACAGACTCTTTACTATGGACCAGTACTGCCGCTACCACACATTTGACAAGATTAGATATTTGTCAGTGGTGCTCAGTATCTGCAAATCGTTCGCCATTGTCCTGTCAGTCATCTCTCCTTACTCTGTGTATGTGGTAAGTGAACTTTCATGTACTATAATGTAACAGTCTACCGCTAGCAAGCGGCTAATCATGTCCCTTTAGTGGCTCCATAGAACGCGTTATTTGTTTTCCGTGCCTTTCTGCATACGATTCACGCTTCGGGCACCACCCCCCAGCATGCATGGTATTTCTTCTGCCAGAAAAAGTTTTCTCAATAAATAACAAATCTAGTAAAACTCTTTTGTAATAGCCAATGTCTAATTGGAAAATATTGATATGTAAGATTAGATTAAATGCCCTGAGAATAAATTACCCTTCATTTGTACTTTAATGTTTTGTTAGTCATATTCCTGAATGCTAAGCTGTGCATTGCATTGCTTTGCCGCAGGTGTGAGTTCGTGGCTGTGTTTCTGCTCAAGGCCCCATGGAACCTGACGTGATACGCATGTACTCCTCCTCTCCACCCCCGATGGAGGACGGCATCGAGGACGAGGACGACGAATTCAGCAACTTCACCGGCGTCCCGAACAGCACCAGCTTCGACACGCCCACCACGTTTGACCAGTCTCAGGCTTTGAACGCCACTTCGCCGCCGGAGCTGCTGAGCAATGGGAGGATCGTGGGACTGTCCGCTCAACCAGCAGGGTCTACGAAAGCTAATGGCGTGACGCCTGGCTCTGGCCAGACCGCCACGCCCAATGGCAAAATGGTTAGCGTCGAGGAACTCAAAAAGTTCAGCGAGCACCAAGCTCACATCGCATCCCTGGAGTTCGCAACGGGGTCTCGGACTGACAGCGACGCCATTGACTGCAATGGCACAGTTGAAGTGCTCACGAACGGGTTTGCGACATTAGACCAAGGTGGAAGCACGCCTACGCCACACAAAACCAACGAATTTGATGTCAGTCCAGATGATTTTGCAGATTTCTCTGCCTTTTCAAATGCGGAACACAACCAGCCTTCAGAGACAGACTGGGAACATTCTAATCAAGGGTGCATACCGCCACAGAATGATGCTAACGACAGCGTTGAAGAGCGAGGAACTAGTTTAGAAGACAATAGCAGGGACTCAAGAAACACAGGGTTTGGATTCTTTTTGGAAAACTCTGAAAGTCTCAGCAACGGTGACTGGGGTTTCCATAAAGGGTCGGATTTAGATCGAAGGGAGCTAGAAGCTGATACTACTGAAGACGTTAGCTCGGTGCAACCGCTAGCCCTTAATGGTGTCACTTTTAGTGAAACCGATGAGAACAGGCTGTCGCCCGACTCTACTGGGGATAAGTCTAGTGGCAAACAATCAGATGAGAAAGGCTCAGAGAATGAGACTTTAGAAACGGAGACAGAAACGGAGACGTCCTTTGGTCGGCCGCTATCGACAGACGCGCTCGAAGAATTCGGTGACTTTAGCACGACGGGATCCGTACCCTCGCCTCCACTTCAGGAGGAGACAGCCACTCCGGCCGACCACAGCCAGCTGGCCGAGGACGACGATGAGGATTTTGGAGATTTCGGTGACTTTGGAGATGCCAGCTCGTTTAGCGCGACTGGATTTGCTGATTTTGACCAGCAGGGGGTCTCTCAGCCTGAGCTGGACCCGAGTCCCCCGGTGGAGGTCGAAGATGATGAATTTGGCGATTTTGACACATCAAAAGAACCTAGTAAAACAGACTTGGCAGGTGAGGAGGCAACGACGTTTGCGGATTTTTCTGGAAGTGACAGTTTCGTGGATTTTAGCTCCGCGCAGGTGGGCGATAACGAAGGATGGCAGGCTTTCTCTGAGCCGGATCAGAGCCAGAATGAAGGGGAATCGTGGGCATCATTTGGGCGGGAACAGAATGCAGCGGCTACAGAAAAAAACAGAGATGATTGGCAGGAAAGCCAGCCGGTTACGGCGCCCCCTACTGCTGCGGAGGAGCACAAAAGTTGTACAATGGTAGGTCTGATTACTTAAAAATACTAGTTTGATGGTTTATATTTACTGTTTTTACTTTGTCTCATTCTGTTCTCCATTTTGTTGTCCTAAAAGTAAAACTGGCACAGGAATTTAATCAGATTGAGGAATGAACCTGGACAGGGTGGTTTACTCTGTCTGCACGATTGATTAAGCACAAACAGAGGCTTTATAACGTCTCTTTTTCATTAATTTCACTGTGCCAGTTATTAGGTCAAAACAAAGTATATGCTAAAAACAACTACACACTATTTCTGTCAAATTAAATGTTGTTTTCTTTCTCTGATAAGCATAAAGATACATAAACACTAGGCTATTTGCTCTGAGCAATTTTTTTACCAATACCTTTCAATAATAAATTAAATGTAATAAAAGTACCCTACCGTTCAAATTTTTTTTTAAAGTCTCTTCTGCTTACCAAGGCTGCATTTATTTGATAAAAAATACAGTACAAATGGTGATATTGTGTAATATTATTACAAAAAAAAACAAAAAACTTTTCTATTTGGTTGCTGCTCAAGAAACATTTCTGATTATCATCAATGTTGAAAACCGTTGTGCTCCTGAATATTTTTATGGAAACCGTGATACTTTTTTTTCAGGATTCTTTGATGAACAGAAAATTCAAAAGAGCAGCATTTATCTTTTGTAACATTATAGAAGTCTTTTGATCCCCTCTCTGTTCTACACTTTTTACTGAGCAACACAATTTTCTTCTTTCTTTCTGTGTTTTACTAAGTCTGCACTGGTCAGCCGCCTGGAGAAGATTTTGCAGGCTAGTTTCGAGCTGGTTGTCGCCCCTCAGGTGGAGGAACAGGTGACCACGCTCAACACCTTCCTCAAACCTCCTGACACATCACAACAGGAGGACACTGACAGAGGGCCGACCAATGGGTGAGGAGCTACGAGTTTATTTGTGTAGTGCTGCTGGTGGCCAATTACCTCAATTAAGTCATGTTTATTGTCCTGTGGTCAATGAAACGCTCTCTGTCTCCTCCTGCAGGTTCTGTAGGGCACTGCGGGACGTTTGGCAGCAGCTGCAGGATGTTAATAATGCCTACGGCCTCCGGTACCAGTGGGGCGGCTCTCATACCAATAAAGCACTGCTCTGCTCGCTTGGTATCGACACCAGAAACATAGTGAGTTGGGTTATGGGAAAACAAAGGATTTGGTCAAGTCATGTATATAAGAAGCTGTATTCTTCCTGAAATTGCAACTGATTTCTCTTGAATTTTCCCTCTCCTCTTCTGTTTTTATCTCTTTCTCCTCAGCTATTCACGGGCCATAAAAAGCAGCCTGTAATTGTGCCAATGTATGCTGCCAGTCTGGTGAGTGAAGCCCAGTTGCAGGCGAGCTGTGTGTGTGTGAGAATGATGGACGCTGGTTTATTTTAGACGTCCTCTAAAGCTCATATGTGTTTAATCAATCCTCTTTGATGCCTGTTGGTCTGCAGGGGATGCTGGAACCCACGAAAGAGCCGGTGAAGCCCGTCTCCGCCGCTGAAATGATCGCCTCAATAGCACAATCTCCTTCAGTCGCCACGGAGCTGAACACCTGTCCACCTGACACCGCCCAGGTGAGCATCTTCAGTAACCTTCACCTGCTAAAATAGTACACATATTACACACCTCTCTATATAAAGTTGGATATATAGTATATCCAACTTTATTTGCATACATACAGTATACTTGAATTAAGCAATATAAATCTCTGTTATTTGTCAAAATTTTAACCGTAGCAAGACCACATGTAATCTCTGCAAATTAAATTTCATATTATATATATAATAATTAGAAAAAATAAAAACAAGAATGATGGAGATAAATAGACCACGATGGTCATTTAACATGCCAGTCTGACAAAGTGATGGATAATTAGGCTATTATTTGAAGCACAACCTTTGGTCTTTTTGTGAGAGAAAGATATTAGTCAGGTAAGACTGATCTGGAAAATGTCAAAACTTTAACTTTAGAACAGTGTTTCTTTAGGAAGGTTTTTTACAATACTTTTGTGACAAAGCATCTCAAATCAGTAGTTACCGCAGTTTATAACAGACCTTAAAAAAGTTACAACAACTATATTTCTAAGGGTAATAACTGGGCGGCAATCATTAATTAAATAATAAACCTAGTCCTGCACATTTAAAAAAAAAACGTAATTGTCACACAAACAAAAGTATCATACAGACAACTAAATAGAGCAACTCTTTTCATTAAGATTCTTAATTATTATTTTTTGCATTACTTTGTAAAATGTGATATCTGGGCTCTTTTTCTGTTGTCAGGAGTCTCTTCCTCCCGTTCAGTTTGACTGGAGCAGCAGTGGCCTTACAAACCCTCTGGACGGTAAGACCGATCAGTCGTTTCTTGAGGAGGAGCATCGCAGAGAAAAATGGAGAAATAAGCTCCTCATTCTCAAATATATGGAAACGTGCCTCGTGTCGTGAAAACTAAACGCTTGATCAACAGTTGCACAGTAACTGTCTCCACATTTATGTTGGATGCTCGTGTACTCTTCATGCTTCTCGCTAACAGAAACCAGCACTAATCCATTCACGTAGTTTCATCATTAATCCAGACCTGAGCATATGTCAACTTCTGCTTTCCTGTGTTCTCTTTCTCTCTGTCCGTAACCCTTCTCTCCTCTTTCACCATCCCTCGTTCTGAAGCGAGTGGAGGCTCCTCTCTGCTCAACCTCGATTTTTTCGGCCCTGTGGACGAGTCGCCCTCCAGCACGGCCACCTCCATACCAGGTTTGCTGAAGCATTTCCAGTTTAACACCAAAGCTGTCTGTGTGTTCTTGATTTCTGCTCTATTTGCATCTATATCTTTAACCGTGCATTCAAACGATCATTGTTGCATGCGTACATGCGCTGGCGTATCACAAGTGTGCTGACATGCATGTGCAGGCGTGGACCCGGAGCTGTACGAGTTGACCCAAGCGAAGCTGGATGTCAGTGGAGGCAGCAGTAGAGTTGTGGATGCGTTCGCTCGCCTCATGTCGACCGTCGAGAAGACCAGCACCTCCACCAGGTCAGTGAGCCTCACTCATTCACAGTACTGCTGCTGGGCCACCAGGAGGAGCCACACGACAGTTCCTGATGAGTTCAGAACAGCAGGTTTTCTGTAGGCATGGACTCATTATTTGATCCGACTGTCAAAGGTTAGATGTTTTTACACACAATTGAATAAAAATGCAAAATAACAATTTTTAATGGGATAACTGGATGTAAGCCATTGCTATTTACTACTGTTTGAAACCTTTATTAGTACATACTGCGTACTTCTATCGTGCTGCTCATACTGTTTTTTTTGTTGTTTTTTTTTAAAGTGTGGTACTAGGTTTATTAGTTAATTTAATGATTGCCGTTCAGTTATTACCCTTAGACAAATATGGTTATTTTGCATTTTTGTTCCAACTTTTCTAAGTCTGATCAAACAATAAGTCAAGAAATGGATGTTATAAATTGTGGTAGCTACTGATTTAGGATGCTTTGTCACTAATGTAATGCAAAAAACAAGAAAATGTTTTATATTGAAAAGCTGTTCTGAAGTTATCTGATGTTTTTTTGATCGGTCTTATGTGATTGTTCACTCTGATATCTTTCTCTGATCTTTTTTCTTGTCTCTCTGATCTTCCTCTGATCTCTCTTTTAAATCCGTCTGATCTCTCTGTCTCTGATCTGATCACTTGTTCTGAACGAGGCATCAGTTTACTGTCGGGGATTTGTCGTGTCACGCCGCATCCAGTGTAGTCAGTCGCACAGCATCACTGATTATAATGGGCTCTATTGTATTTTGTCGCGTTGCGCCGCTCGCGTCCGGTGTAGACACGGTGAGTCACGCAGATGCACGTGAACACTGAATTCTGTTCACTTCCGCGTCTATTTGTGCCTGAAATGACACATATGTGCAAAATTGTCAAAATGCATGTCTCTGCAAGTATCCTTGTAAACACAGTTGCTTATGGCTTAGGTAAAGGTAAACAATTGAGAAAGAAAATGGATGTGTAATAGTATATTGGTTCACAGCAGTTTAATGTTCCTGTTGCTTTCTGTGTCGTGAATTTTAATCAAACAACAAAACAAATATTCTGTCTGATCTATGTCTGATCTCTGTCTATTCTGTCTGATCTCTTTCTCTGATCTGTCTGATCTCTGTCTATTCTGTCTGATCTATGCCTGATCTCTTATTCTGATCTCTGTCTATTCTGTCTGATATATGCCTGATCTCTCATTCTGATCTCTCTGTCTATTTTGTCTGATCTCTTTCTCTGATCTGTCTGATCGCTGCCTATTCTGTCAGATCTCTGCCTGACCTCTTATTCTGATCTGTCTATTCTGTCTGATCTATGTCTGATCTCTGTCTATTCTGTCTGATCTATGTCTGATCTCTGTCTATTCTGTCTGATCTATGTCTGATCTCTGTCTATTCTGTCTGATCTATGTCTGATCTCTGTCTATTCTGTCTGATCTATGTCTGATCTCTGTCTATTCTGTCTGATCTATGTCTGATCTCTCTGTCTATTCTGTGTCTATTCTGTCTGATCTCTGTCTATTCTGTCTGATCTATGCCTGATCTCTTATTCTGATCTCTATTTTGTCTGATCTATGTCTGATCTCTTATTCTGATCTCTCTGTCTATTCTGTCTGATCTCGTTCTCTGATCTGTCTGATCTGTCTATTCTGTCTGACCTCTTTCTCTATTCTGTCTGATCTCTTGTTCTGAACTCTTTGTCAATTTTGTCTGATCTCTTACTCTGATATGTCTGATCTCTTTCTAGTTGGTTTGATCGCTGTTTTAAATGTTTCTCTCTGATGTGATCTCTCTCTCTGACCGGTCTGATCTCTCAGTAGAAAGCCTGTGCAGGAGGAGAATCTTAGCGAAGAGGCTCGGCGAGTGATCTCAGGTCTGCCGGATCTGTCGTTCATGCAGGCTAAAGTCCTCATGTTCCCCTCCACGCTGACTCCTCTCCTCCCCTCCTCCTCGCCTGACTGACGCGGTCCTCTCCTCCGTGCCGTTTCACCTCTTTCTCTGTGTATCACTCTCCAGCTTTTCACGAAACGGACAGTTATGATTTTAATTTCATCCTTTTGGTTTTCTAGCTCCTGTTTGTCATGTACCTGGGCGTTTTTAAGTTCAAAAACATTGTCTATGTTAGAGAGAGTGGATGAGATAATCGACTAATGATCGATCGCTTTAGAGGAGAAAAGACTAGATCATTTTATTTGTAGGATGAGAGTAGGAAAAGAGTTTGTGTTTATATTAGAGCCAATCTGTATATAATCAGGGATGATTTCGTTTTGAGTATTCTTCACAGTTAAGATAGTCTGTATGAGAGAGAAACAGGCACTTTGTTATTTTCAGGTCGTTTGTTTTTATGAAACACTGGCTTAAAAGTCCTTCATTGGCACAAATGATGATGTGAATGATCTGATTTGTATTTAGATATATAAATGCGTAGTTATATCGACTTGAAACCAAACCGCCTGCAAAATTTTCTTTCGATTTTGCGTAACAAAGGCCTTAGTTTTTAATCGTTTTGGCTATTACATTACAATCAATATTGTTATTACTTGTAGGTTTTAGGTGATTTGATTTCGCACAGGCGTTAGTGAACACTTTATCCTTTTGTTGTGCAAATAGTTTAACAATTAACTCGCTTTCCACACCGACAGACTGCAGACAGAGTCCATCAACATCTATAGAAACCACATCTGTGCATTAGCTGCTCATGTTTTTCAGTTCTTATTTTGTTTATTTTTTTAATGTAAGTTGAAACCACTGGCTTTAGACTATACTGTATTGAAGGAATTGAATGAATGATCAACTTGAATATATATATATATGTGTGTATAGAGAATAAGGGACCAATATCTGCTGTATCGTTTTGCTCATTTATGTTATCATTGTGTTTTGGTCATTCTGTATCTTGTGTTTTATTTACAATCTTAAGCGACTCTTTTGGAGGACGTCTGCCGTCACTGCGGTCCTGTACGCCAGGAGTGCATAATGGAAAATGTTCGCCAGAAACGAGTTTTCTCACCTTTTGGCTTTTTTTTGTCTCGTTTTTTTTTTTTTTCAGCGAGCGTCATGACGAGGTCGTCCTTTACCATGGAAACGACTTTTGACGCACCCGAGCTCCCACTCAGGGACGAACCGCAGGGGACGTTGTCGAACAGCAAGCTGTCTATTTCCGTGAACAGGAAATCGTCCAATGAGAAATCGGTGAGGAGTGAGGGGGTGTGGCCAAACACTGACTGGGCAGAGTCCGAGAGAGATGATGCTGAGTCCGTACCGCTGTTCATTTCAGAAAGATCTGGGTCTGTATGCCTGGATTCATCTGAATTTGGGTCTGATGCGAGCGAGCGGCCCGTCTCCCTAGAAAATAAAGTGGTTATTCCCACAGTCGGGCACAGATCTTCAATTTCAGCCAGTGCTGAGGTGAAGCTGTCTTTAATAATGGAGGATGATGGGGGCTGCTGTTTGGAAATGGACGGAGACAGACAGAGAAACAGATGTCTGTCCTCCTCCAACCGCGACACAGGCGTCAAACTGCCCTCACTATGGGACTGAACCCCGCTGGGGAAGGACTGGGGTGCAGGGACGTCCTGGATGCGCCGGAGTGTGTTGGTGATGAGCACCCTGCGGGCCAGGCCCGGCTCCGAGTGTCCCGGACGGCTGTGCAGCTTCAGCAGCGAGAGGTTGAGCACGGTCTGCCGCTGGAGCCAGTAGCAGGCGGGTGACGCCTCCTGAGGGCAGCTCATCTTCATCACGCCATTCTCTTCCTCCTGCTCCAGCTTCCGCTTCAGGCCTTTACCCAACATGTAGTGTATATCTGAGAGAGAAACGCACAGAAATGAAGCAAAGCGCATTATATTTATAAGATTTTTAATTTATAATTGAAGATTATATTTTAAAATATTTCTGATATGTGACTCTGGACCTCAAAAAACATAAGGGTCCATTTTTTGAAATTGAGATTTATGCATCATCTGAAAGCTGAATAAATAAGCTTTCCACTGATGTATGGTTTGTTAGGATAGGACAATATTTGGATGAGATACAACTATTTGAAAATCTGGAATCTGAGGGTGCAAAAAAATCTAAATATTGAGAAAATCACCTTTAAAGTTGTCCAAATAAAGTCCTTAGCAATGCATATTACTAATCAAAAATTAAGTTTTGACATATTTACAGAAGGAAATTTACAAAATATCTTCATGGAACATGATCTTTACTTAATATCCTAATGATTTTTGGCATAAAAGAAAAATCAATAATTTTGACCCATACAATGTATTTTTGGCTATTGCTACAAATATACCCCAGCGACTTAAGACTGCTTTTGTGCTCCAGGGTCACATATGTATATTTTTATTTCAAATCTGCAGTAAAATTTTAAATATTTTATTTAAACATTAAAGTAATAAAATAATTTTTAAAAAGAATGAAATATTAATATCTTATTACATTTCATGATTTTTCAAGTTTTTAGATTTTAGGCATCTTCTATATTAACATTTTAAATATTTTAAAAAGTAAACAAATGTAATAAAATTAAGTATTATTTTTAATATTATCTTAAAAATTACATTTTAATGAATAAAATGGAATGTAATAAAATGACAAATTAGTGAAAATATATAACTTTAAAATGTGTATTTTATTGTAAATGTTTTCTATAATAACATTTTAAATATAAAAATAAATTTAAAAAAATTAACTGAATTGTTTATTTTTATATTATCTTTACTTCAATTAATAAAATTAAATGTAATTAAATGACTATATATTTAAAATATTTTACTTAAAAATGTACATTTTATTTATTTTTAGTGTAAATTTCCTATTTTAACATTTTGAATATAAAAAAGTTGCAAAAATAAATTTAACAGAATTATTTTTTCTGTATTTTAAAATGAATATTCTGCTCAAGTGAACCGTTCAAAGGGCTAGTTCCTCTATTTTAGATAAGAAACAGGAGACAACATAACATTAAAGGTCTTTGATGGAAATTGACTGAGTGGAAAGTACTGTGTATCTGGCTATTCTACAAAGACAATCAGTCACCAGTGACGGCTCGTGACCACACATCTGACTCTCTTCTCTCTGGACTCTGTGATTACTGTAAACCAGAGCACTCGCTTTGTTGCCTCACTTCCTCCCTTGAACTGATTAGTTAGTAGCTATGGTTAATAGTTTGTACCACTAAAGGACCAACAATCATGTGTTCATGTGAACAACAGCTAGAGCTGGACAAATAATGCCCGAGTCACACAATGCACCATAATTTACTGGATTATAGAACATACGTAAATTATTTTAGATTTGAGAATTCTAGAACTTTTATGTCTTGAATGTGATATGTTAACTGATATCATATAATGTGCACATAGGCCTGTATGAGGTTTGCATTAGACGACACTGAGCAGACGTGCAAAAATGAACCAAAAGGTCTTATTTTCGCATAACTTCATCTGTTAAATGCGTGTATATTTACACAACCAGTGTTGGGGAAAGTTACTTTTAAAAGTAATGCATTACAATATTGCATTACTCCATTAAAAAAAGCAACTAATTACGTTAGTTACTTTTTATGGAAAGTAATGCGTTATGTTACTTTCGCGTTACTTTTTAAGCCGATTCGTTCGATCCGATTCGCGAAGCTTTTTTGGCGTGCGCTAGTAACAGTGGTAATAATTGGGGAAAAAAAGTATAAACTATATAATTGATTAGCCTACCTAGCTACAGGCTTTTTATTGCTTGTCAATAAACGTCGCTACTTGACGCAAAGTATCCTTTTTTATATGTTAATCCTCGATAACCAGTAACTAGTTAGGCTACTACATGAAAAAATAGGCTACTATAGTAATAGTGTTTTTGAACCATACTAAGTACTTGAATTAATTTGTTGTGGTAATTCTATAGTTGCTGTGTTACTATGTATCTGGATCAACTAGCCGAGTAGACAAATATAAATGTTTATTCATAACCATGCTAAAAATAAGTCAATGTTAGCTGATGCTAACTGTCTAGCTAACGAGCTTGCTGGTGCTAAATTGAGGTAATTTTTTTTTTAAATAAAGTCCAAATATTATAATTCAACCACCTAGTTGATTACATCTGAGAGAAAAAGAAAGGATGTGATGTTCAGAACATGGTAACTACAGTAATTATCAAAGTGGGAAGTGATGCCCTCGGGGGGCATTTGGCCAGGGGTGGTTTTATACCACAGACAAGGTTTAAGAAGAAAAAAAATCATTATGAAAATATAATGATATTTTCCTTATTATATTCATTATTTCCTTATTGGTTATTTTGGTAAAATCCCAGGTATTTTGAGCAATAGGATTATAAAAAAATATATGCTAATATAAAATTAAATGATAAAAGTAGCCTATATAAAACTGCAAAATAAATATTAATCTATCAGTACTTTTTACTTAAGTACATAAAAAATCAAGTACCTTTGTACTTTCACTCGAGTAAAATTGAAAACTGAGTTCTTTTACTTTTACTGGAGTAATATTTTATTATACGTATCTATACTTTTACTCAAGTACTTGATTTGTGTACTTCGTCCACCACTGAGTATTAGTAGTGTTACTATACATTACTATAGTATTTTTCATGTGACTAGTTACAGTAATAACATTACTTTTTACAGTAACTAGTAGTGTAACTAATTACTAATAAGATTCCAGTATTTACGATACAGGATTACAGTGTTTACGATAATATTACTTAAATTTAACTTAAACATTTGAGGCTATTAGCACCAAATAGCAGTTCTTCTGTGAACACTTGATCGCTCAAAAGAATCGTTGTTGAAGGGTTAATTTAAATGAATCGCCCGAGCGAGTCGATTCACAAGAATGAATCGGACCTCGCAATGCTACAGATGTCACCCCTCCTCTCTCTCTCTCTCTCTCTCTCTCTCTCTCTCTCTCTCTCTCTCTCTCTCTCTCATTCCAGTCTGCATATGTCAATGAACGTGATCTCGCGCTCCTGTGGAAAAGCCGCAAATATGTGAAGCATTCACAGCGCGAGCTCTCCGCAGCTTCCTCTCGAGCTCAGCTGAACAAGAGCACTCCAGAACAGAATGATAAATAGAAAAAATGATGACTAATAGATTGCTCTTATTTTAGTGCAGCTGAAGTTTATATGTGCATATCTCTCACAGACAACAGAAATCATCACGTGAAGATTCAGAAGATCTCAGCAACTTTTCTCAGATTTGTCTGCAGTCACAGTCACAGGCTTTCTTTTTTAAAGATACAAAGTCTTACTGGATCATTTCTGAGTATATTTTCCAAGAGGAATTATATAACGGGGGGTTTCCATGCAAAATTAATTGAATAAATATATTATTTGGAAAATATTTAGTTTCTATTAAGTTTTTTCTATCCTCTTTAGTACTTTACTGTGTATTATTTATTTGCTTATTGTAACCTAGTTGTATTATTTACATATAATTAATTTTAATCTATTCATTTATTTTAATCTTATAATTATTATAAATCTATGTTTACAATCTAAATTATTTCAATCGACTTTTATTATTTATTCTAATCTATTAATTTATTTTAATCTTATTTTTATTATAAAATTATTTTTATTATATTCTTTTTATTTTGTTGGGGTTCTTTATTTCTTTTTTTATTTATGCTCTCTCTACTAATCAAATTTTTATTTAAATAAATTTTTGTTTATTTTAATTGATTCATTTATTTTAAACTTTTATTATACAATTTTATACTCTAATTTGTAAAATATATAAATAATATGTATAATAAAATATTATTTTTAAATATTAGACATTTAAATTTTTTTTTAATCTAATTTATTTACTTATTTATTTTACTTGTTGTTTTTTAAATTGTAGTATTGGTACGTTTTTTTTCTAAACATTTCTATGGGCCCCAGTTTGAAGGCCCCTATTCTAGAAAATGCATGCGACACCATTTGACAAGCTGATATTTAAATAAAGCATAATTTTTAAGTCTCTTAACTATTAAAGACCAAAATCTGAGCAATGCAACGTTCTGCTTCAAGATTACTTATTTAAAACTAGACAAATCTATATTAGCAGTTAATCAGAATCTTTGTGCATCAAAATGTTTGGACATATTTCCACACGGTGCACATGGTGACATCTGTGCTCTAGGTCATCATCTCCTTCACTTCATACTATCCAGATGGCCTGAACAAGAGGAACGAGATAAAGCAGCAGTCAATCAGAGCAGCTGAATCAACACAGACACACACACACACACACACACAGACACACGCACACGCCAAAACCACATCAAACACACAAAGAAACGCAACCTTTCGCCGCGTCTCAGTAAACAGACATGAGAATATGAGAGTATTATGGAATGCATGACAGCAGAAAAACTCCCAGATTGTCACTGAAGCCACATCTAGAGAGCAGAAGATCAGAGACTTGGACCAGTAAGAAACCACACTAGAAAGTTCTGCACAATTAAGTGCTGACCACACCTATAACTGTGTAACTGTTTAATTAATATCATTTTGACAAGATTTTGTATGCAAACAGTCTGTTGTTCTCACATCGTGTTCTGTTCATCCCAAACTCATCTGTCTTGCTCTCCTCCAAACAGCTGCCGCCGTGCTCGGCTCCTCCCAGCAGACCCGAGGAGTCACACGCGCTCTTGCATTGTCCTTGACTCTGACCTCTGACCTCTGCAGGACAGCTGTCTCTTTCTGCAGGAGCGTGCAAGCGTGCAGATGCTCAGGCATGTGTGCAGGCGGCGTCGCTTTCAATGTGTGCTCGTCCTGCACGCTTTCTCAAATGTTTTAGTTTATGCAAGAAATAATTTGTTGTCAGAAAGGACCATGCAAATACTTGGATGCAAAAGTTCAATCAGGGTCAATAAGATTTTAAAATGTTTTTGAAAGAAGTCTCTTCTGCTCACCAAGAATGCATTTAGTTAATCAATACAGTAAAATTGTGAAATATTATTACTATTTAAAATAACTGTTTTCTGTTTGATTATATTGTAGAATGTAATTTATTGCTGTGATCAAAGCTGAATTTTCAGCATCATTACTCCAGTCTTCAGTGTCACATGATCTTCAGAAATCATGAAAATATGCTGATTTGCTGCTCAAGAAACATTTCTGATTATTATCAATGTTGAAAACAGTTGTGCTGCTTCATATGTTTGTGAAAAACCGGGAAACATTTTTATTTCCAAGATTCTTTGATGAATAAAAAGTTAAAAAGAACAGCATTTATATGACAGAAATCTTTTAAAGCATTATAAATGTCTTTACCAGTGTTACCAATGCATTACAAGTAACAAGTCACGTAATCAGATTACTTTTTTAAAAGAAACTAGTAATGCATTGCATTCCTTTTAAATTTCCAAGAAAATATCGGAGTTACTTTTTCAAATAAGCAGTGTTGGGGGTAATATATTACAAGTAACGCAAGTTACGTAATCAGATTACTTTTTTCAAGTAACTAGTAAAGTAACGCATTACTTTTTAATTTACAAGGGAATATCTGAGTTACTTTTTCAAATAAGTAACGCAAGTTACTTTTTTTTTCAATTTATTGACAGCTCTCCTGTCCCCATGTTGAGAGAAATCAAATGTTACTGTAGTTCTAAAATAATTTCTTCTTCTGCATTCTACTGTACGGACGTAAATGTACTTTCCCTTCAGCCTGAGGCTTATTCATTTCACTTTTGGTGTGAAAAGGCTTTTATATTTGCCAAAAACAGAACTTTTTTATTTTAAAAACAAACAAGCAAGCCCTGTCCAGATTTAAAAAGTAACGTAACGCATTACTTTCCATAAAAAGTAACTAAGTAACGTAATTAGTTACGTTTTTATGGAGTAACGCAATATTATAATGCATTACTTTTAAAAGTAACTTTCCCCAACTCTGCAAATAAGTAACACCAGTTGTTTTGTTTTCCCATTTATTGACTGACAGCTCTCCTGTGCTCATGTTGAGGGAAACTGGGAGTGAGTTTCAGACGCACTTCCTTCAGCCTGAGGATTATACATTTCATTTTTCGTGTGAAAGGGCCTTTACAGTTGCCAAAAATATAACTTTTGGGCTTTTTGTTAATAGAAACAAATAAGCGAGCCCAGCTCGAGTGACAAAAAGTAACACAAAAGTAATTAATTTCCAATAAAAAATTAACTAAGTAACTTACTTTTTTATGGAGTACCGCATATTGTAATACATTAACTTTCCCCAACACTTTTATTTACTGTCACTTTAATGCATCCTTGCTGAATAAAAGTATTAATTTCTTAAAAAAAAAAAAAAAGAACATTAGTGTATGTAACTAGTAGATAATGTGAAGAGCAGTGCTGACTCTCAAACTCCAGCCAGTCTGAACACATCTGATGCCACCCACTGGAAACAATGAGCCAAATCTGTGACAGGCTGCTTTATGATGGAACACTTCAAACATGTCACCAAACACTCCAGTTAAAACCATTTTTATTCAACTTTTCCTTCATAGTTTATTTAAACATCGTGTGATGTAAAAGAAAACAAGAAAAAAAACAGGAGAAAAAGAGCATTTTCTCCCTGAAAACAGAAAGTTACATAAGAAATGTTGCTTTATCTATTGTGATGTCATTTCCTGTTTATCTGTGGGATTTATATAGATACATTTATACATAGATCTGCTATAGCTCCTGTTACAGTGACGCTGCTCTTGTGTGGTCAGTAAATAAACACCGAGTCCAACATACAGGTAATTACGGAAGCTTGTTTCCAACACGATTGCGACTTTTGATCTCGCAATTCAGACTTTCTTTAAGAATTGCGACAAAAAAAAAAACTGACTTTTTTTCTCGGAATTCTGACTTTACATCTCACAATTCTAATTTTTTTGTTTGTTTCTGCCATAGAATTAAAAAAACAACAAAAAAAAAAGGTAATTTTGACTTATAATCTTGCAAGAAACTGAATTTATAAATTGCAATTCTGACATTATATTTCAATTTTCTCGTAATTGCGAGAAAAAAGTCAAGAGTTCAAAATAAGTCAGAATTGTGAGGTAAAAAGTTGCACTTACCGTTTTATTTTTTTATCCCATGGATACAAAAACAAGCTTCCATATAATATACATGATGTATAAGCATCAAAACTAATTAAGAGAAATAGTAACTAATTGATAATATAGACATTTAAAGGTATAGTTCATTTCTTCACCCCGATGTTGTACGAAACCTGTCAGAGTTTCTTTCTTCTGTTGAACACAAAAGAAGATATTTTGAAAACGGTTGAGAACCAAATAGTTGCCGGTATCCATTGACTTCCACAGTATTTTTTTCCCCACACTATGGAAGTGAATGGCTACCGGCAACTAAATAACCAACATCTTTTGTGATCAACAGAAGAAAGAAACTCATACAGCTGTGGAACAACCTGAGGGAGAGTAAACGACGACAGCGGCCCAGGATTCGGTTCTTGATTATACCACAAAAAAATAGCAGAGGATGATAATGCGGTTAGAAATGTGGCAAATTAGCACAGGTCAGAAACATGACTAGCTCACTGTAAGTGTCGCGTTGGTCACGCTCAGAGGACCACTGAAATGCTGCAGAGCACAGATAAAAAACAAAACAGAAGAAATGGCCAAACAGGCGAACGGTCCACCAAACGAGAGAGAAGGAGAGGTCGCCGTAGCAACCCCACTGGGAGCCATAGTAACGGAACCCGCTGTTCCGAGGTCAGTTATGACATCACAGTCCACCGCTTCCTTCAAAGTTCCAAAGAGGAAGTTCAAAGCCAAACCTGGTGGCGCTCCTCTAAAAACGCCGGCGTCCGGAAGTGCTTTTGGATGCTTGTCTAAAGAGCATACGGAATTTGAGCCGTTAAGCCGGCAGATGGTTGGACGCGTGTTTGTCTGGTCATGCATCCATGTGCATGCATGATTCAATATCAGGCAATGTTTAATTTGATCCTCTCTTACTCTCCTTTTCTTTAATATTCTCAGTCTTTATTGCACATACACTCTCTCTCTCACACACACACTCACTCACTTCCTGCTAACACAGCTGTGGCGTATGGTTGGTAACGTTACTGTCGCTGGGTCTCAGCAGCATCCTCCGGAGGACGTCTTGACCGGCGTGCTCTGAATCTTGACGTTGGATTTCTCGGGGCCTCCCGTGGTGGCCCCGGGGCCCATTCTCCTCTTGATCTCCGCCGCCATGGTCATGAAGGCCTGTTCCACATTACTGGAGCTCTTCGCGCTCGTCTCCAGGAACGGGATGCTGAGAGAGTCCGCAAACTCCTGCAAGACAGAAAACAACAGACTGATCTCAAACACAGTGTTTAGTTTAGCAATTAAATGAAAAAAATTAATAAATAAAAGGTTTTATTTATGTTGATACAATATATTTCATTATTCTAACCTATATAGTATTTAGGGCTGTAAATTAAAAATGTTAATAATAAATGTTAAACAGTTTTCTATGATTAATCACACCGTACATTAGTACTAATCTTAAACAAATACATTTACAATATATTTGAAATGAATGTAGAATAAACAGAAAGCAAATAAAACAGTTAATAAAAAAGTCTTAAATGCAATAAATTACATTTTACATTTCACACTAACAATTTTAAACAATTAGAGTGTTCAATTATTATTTCAAAAATATCTATTTATTCATTATTTCACAATTAATAATGATAAAATAATACCTTTGGTTTGCAAGAAAAGCTTTTTAAATAATAAATTATTCATAAACGATAAATTATTTATTTATTTAATGTTTAGTAATAAATATTTAAATAATTGTTAATTATTTAGCCTATTAATCAGCCAGTCTTTTGTGTTACAACAAGGAAAGTTTTTACGGATACATTATTAATTGCAATAACTTATTATTTTAAAACATTATAATAAACCTACATTTAAATAATCAGCTATTCTCACAGTCTGCAATCAGGAAAGTTTTTTTTTTTACATACATTATTAATAATAATTAGTTTATTATTTAATTAATATCAAATAATAGTTTAAATAATTACTTACTATTTAAATCATTACTCAGCCAGTCTTTGGAGTTTCAGCCAGGAAACGTAAAAAAAAACCCTCATTACTTATTGATTAACAATAAATAATAATGTGTGCATTTAATCAGCCAGTCTTTATTATTAATTAAAAAAATAATCAATACATTTAAATAATTAATCAGCTATTCGCTCAGTTTGCAACTAGAAAAGGATTAAAAAACAACAACAAATAACTTAGAAATGACTAACTATAGTGATTTATAGCTTAACAAATAATAATAAATCATATCTTAATTAATTCTTAATTATGTAAAATATGAATCAGCCAGTCTTTAGTTTTGCTGCGCTGTGAGAGACATCATCCAGTGAATGGTGTTAAGATTTTGGTGAACGTAGTATTCTGTTTCTTGTACCTTCGCTGCAGTGTAATCCACAACTTTCTTAGTGGTCAGATCACACTTGTTTCCCACCAGGAGCTTGTTGACGTTTTCACTAGCGTAGCGATCGATCTCCTGAAGCCACTGTTTGACGTTGTTGAAGGACTCCTGAGGAAACACATGAAAACAGCACTGAACACAGAAATGTGTGTGAAAGGTCATACTAAAGGAATGTTTGGTCACCTGATCCGTGACATCGTAAACAACGATGATCCCGTGAGCTCCTCTGTAGTAGCTGGACGTGATGGTGCGAAACCGCTCCTGGCCGGCCGTGTCCCACTGACAACACAACACACATTCAGCACTGACTTATGCAAAAATGCTCTTTTAAAATAATTGAAAGCACGCTTTAAATCGACCAAAAGCGACAGTAAAGATGTTTACAGAAGATTTCTATTTCAAATAACTGCGGTTCCTTTGAACTTTCTATTCATCAAAGAACCCTGAAAAGTAAAATGCACCACGGTTTCCACAAAACATGAAGCGAAATCTGTTTGATAATCAGGAATGTTTCTTGAGCAGCAAATCAGCATATTAGAGTGATTTCTGAAGTATCATGTGACACTGAAGACTGGAGTAATGATGCTGAAAATTCAGCTTTGATCACAGGAATAAATTATATTCTACAATATATTCAGACAGAAAACGGTCATTTTAAACCGCAATAATATTTCACTGTATTTTTGATCAAATAAATGCAGCTTTGGTGAGTGGAATAGACTTCCAAAAACATTTAAAACTCTCACAGATCCAAAATTTAAAAGAAAGTAATTAATATGTGACCCTGGAGCACAAAACCAGTCATAAGGGTCCATTTTTTGAAATAGAGATGTATACATCATCTGAAAGCAGAATAAATAAGCTTTCCATTGATGTATGGTTTGTTAGGATAGGACAATATTTGGCCGAGATACAACTATTTGAAAATCTGGAATCTGAGGGTGCAAAAAAATCGAAATATTGAGAAAATCATCTTTAAAGTTGTCTAAATGAAGTTCTTAGCAATGCATATTACATTTACGGTAGGAAATTTACAAAATATCTTCATGGAACATGATCTTTACTTAATATCCTAATGATTTTTGGCATAAAAGAAAAATCTATCATTTTGACCCATACAATGTATTTTTGGCTATTGCTACAAATATACCCCAGCGACTTAAGACTGCTTTTGTGCTCCAGGGTCACATATGTTTTTGCATGCTGAAACAATACATAAAATCAAGCTTGCACGCCGTTTCCGGCGTTAACGTGGAGCGCACTTACGATCTGTAGTTTGATGGTCTTTTCGTCGAGCTCTATCGTCCTGATTTTGAAGTCCACTCCGATCGTGCTGATGTAGCTCTCTGTATACGTGTCGTCCTGAGGAAATGCACACACAATCACAGATGAGGCATTCAGCGATGGATCGTTTTCATACACATGCACTAAAAAGAATGACAAAAGTTTTCAGTCCGACTGCAGCTGCAGAAACGAAACGACATCCTTCCTTCACCTTCAGCGTGGAGCTCTTTGACAGTCAAATCACCTGTGCAACAAGAGGCATTATCTTATCCCGTGTGTGTGAACGGCATCTTAATGGCAGGCCAATAACTTACAGCGAAACGCAGCAGAAGACAGGACTTCCCCACGCCCGAGTCTCCGATCAGCAGGAGCTTGAACAGGTAATCACTGAAAGACAAACCACAGGACGATTGAGGGAGGAAATGGAGGAATATCGCATCTCAGGCTCATATTTGACCCCAAAATCAACAAGAAATACATTTTGCATGATACAAAAAAAGTAGACCATGCCATGATGCAAAGACGGTTTTCTTCTGATTTTGATTTGAATTGTGTGTATGACAGGTTCACATGATATAGCAGTCTTTCAATACCACGGTACTGGCATCACCGTACCATGGTAAAACCACAGGTTTTGAAAGAGTGGTGTGGCAACAGGTGACTTGATTAACCAACAGCCCCTGAAACAAAGCTCAACATGTCATAAACTCAGTCAGGATGTCAGCAAGTTCAGGCCTAAGATCACATTTCATCACCACAGGAGCGACAGTATATGACCAGCTCTCTGACAGCACATTAATAAGCCAGAGGATGGCTTTGTTTCATTATAAACACGATAAGATGAGTAACGTTAGTTATTCAGACGGTTTCTTCAGTTTCATTCTTACGACGTGGCACTCACAGAAACAGACTGACAGTTATTGTATACACCCTTATTTGAAAAATATGTATACTTCCTTTTAAATCAAATCGAAACGACTCCCGGTTGGTCGATCTCGTTAAAAGTAACGTTAGTAATAAATTAACCCCAATACTTCAAGTAAATATTTTGTTTACTGACGCGGTAATGATTTGTGTGAATAATAATGAAGCAGGTGATGTGTCATTATATATATATACTGATAAAGAAACACAGCAAATGACAAAAAAACCCTAAAAATATCCTATCAAAAGTAATAACATAACATCGTTGATTATTGCCACACAAACTTACTATTCAGGATTCATGACGACGAAGACTCCCAAATTAACGGTCGTTTTCTTCTCTGCGATGAAGGCGATTAAAGTTCGAAGCTCGTTTGCCGGTGATATCCGTTATTAATCGGTGTTAAAAGCGGGTTTAGGAGAGAAATGAGCGGAAGCGGGATCCGGACGCACATTAAAAAAATGGCTGCTAGTGAAGCTTGAATAATAAGAGACGCGTCACTTTCGCTGCACGACCCGCCAAAATAAAAGTCCCGACAGACCAATAACTGAAGACACACGATTGTGTTTAATTCTTCTTTCATAATTATTAAAAGATGTCCTAATATATTATTTACATTGTATATTTCTAAACACACATTTTCCGAAAATATTTAATTATATATAGCATGTTATGGAGTTTATTTGGAAGGACGATTTTGGAACGTTTCCCAAACGACTTGTATTTGGCCAGAAATCGGAAAAAAAGTTTATTTAAACATTTTTGTTTGGCTCTTAAATGACTTTTAGTCGATCAGCACTGGATCTGCATGCCTACTAATATACGACTACGCTTCTCAACGCAACACTTTCCGTCAAAATGTACTTTTAAACTTTAAATCGACTACGCGGCACTTCACAAAATGTACAACCTGAAGCACGTTAGCAGGTTTTTTTCTCTAGATGGCGCTAAAATCAAGTAAAAAACAATACTCTGTCCCGGATCACTGCGTGCATCTGTCTGTCATCATTAACGTTAACTATAAGGTCAGCGAGTTGACAAAGACTGTCTTATGGCAGAGCACATTTTCTCTCGTTTTCTTCCTCTTGGTGACTGAAGCACAACTGTTTGACTATCTTTATCTCATGGAAAGTGTTTGAAGTTCAGAGTTGGTACCAACTGTATTTAGCTCCTCTCATTTCTGCCAGGTTTTGGTAGTTTGGCAGTGGACGCTGATCTTGACCCGTCTTTGAACCAGTCCAAATAGAGGGGAATGGCTTTTCCCTTATCCAAATACACACACACACGTTTCCCAACCATACAAATGCTATTAATACACCTGTCTGGTGACTGCAGAGGACAGACAATGAGCGCTAGGACAGATATGGCCAAAGACAGGGCTGCTCTGCTTTTATTGCTTTATTGTTCATATTTTATATATAAAAAGCATGGGGATTGAGGTTAAGTGGCGTTTTCCTGTGTTTGTTTGCACGTGTCGGTCATTGTTTTGTTTTCCTGAGCCAAACTCTCCTGTAAAGCCTTGAACGCTCATCCATTCACCCCAAATCAAACCCAGAGACGCCTCATCTGTTTTTCCACTAGAAGAGCATGACAAAGTGGGAGTGATGATGCTGTGAAAGCAGTAAAACTAGAAAACAAACACCTGGCACATCTCAAAATGATTTTTAAAGTGAATATAGTTGTGCAGGTGGGCATCTGTGTGTTGTGCAACAATGCAACTGCTGTGGAATAATACAGTGAGCATCTCAAATGGCTTCTGTCACAGATCCGTCCTCCGTGTGTGTGTGTGTGTGTGTGTGTGTGTGTGTGCTGGTGGGGCAAACAGAGGGGTGGGGTTAACATTTCAAGACATCACAAGGACGCTGTATAAAAGGTGAAAGTGGGGGAAAAGTGATGATCTGAGCTCATTTGGGGAGTTTTCCAAACCCACATCCAGTCACACGCTCTTCAGAGAGGACGCTGATATCGGTAAGGAGTTTGACTGGACTTTCTAATGCTTTGTGCAAAAGTTAAGATGCAAATTATTGCCGGCAGACTGCACCTGTCATTCCTGGGGGTTATTTTAATACTTAAGATGTTTTTTTATTTATTAAAACCAGCATTGTTTTGATCATTTTAAATAAAAATAACAGTACTTTTATTCTTTTGCAGCAGAAATGATATAAGGGTAAACTAGTACATTTAAAAATTGTAAATGAACCATAAATTGTAGTTTACTAATATATAATTTGCAGCAGAATTAATTTAGAATTGGAAAGCATTGAATTAAACTCAAAAGTAATTAGTTTTTGAACGGAGGGAAAATGTAAGGAAAACATGCACAAAAAGTCCAAACGACATTAAAAAGTGCAGAATATGTCTGAGAAGAATAAACTAGTATATTTAAAAAGTTAAAATGAAACTTAAAAGTGAAATCATAATGATTAAACATAATTTATTAAGAGATTGTAAAATAAGACTTCTAATTATGAAGTTCAAATGATAAAAAATAAAAATATAGTTAATGGCAGAATTTGTTGAGAAAGTGAAAACTAGTAAAAAAGTAACGAGTAAAAATGTATTTCAATGTAGATTTGTTACAGAGGAAAAAACTAAAACAAAAATTATATTTCAATGTAGGTTTTGTTTTACAGAGGAAAAAACACATACAAAAAAGTCCAAATTGAATTGAAAAAGTGATTTTTTTTTTAGAAAGAAAAACTAATAAAAAAGGTCATGAAAAAAAAAACAGTTCAAGGTAAAATAAACTTAGTTAAAATTTATAGTTATAGTTTTCTTAGTTAAAATGCTGATTTATTGGCCTGTAAATCAACAGTGGAGTGTGTGGCTGTGGCACAGGACTAGACGGGATCTATGGAGCGTTCACTGAAACCTCAAGGTCCTCAAGCAGATCACTGGAGCCTCAAACTGAAATAACTCAAGTCGCCTCATGCAACACACTGCACTTTAATGAACTTCACTGCAGCGTCTAGTAATAATGCAGGGAATATTAATAATTACAATAGATGCTACATTATTTTGATTAATGCAAAAATAATCTGTTACGGTGTAGTTATTGGACAAATGGTACTAATTTGGCTAAATTAAAAGTTCTTTAGAGGTCAAATGTCAAGGTCAATCATCCATCTAAAAACATGTATACTCACAGCACTCATTTTTTGTTTAATGTGTGCAAACAAGACCATAGGCTCTCCTGTCTGAAACAAGTTCAGGAGGTCATATAGATTTAAAGTAGCTTTAGAGCTGAAAGTGGCTTAATACCCTTCATGAGTGAAGCGAAGGCCATGTGATGCTAAACTGATCGGCACATACTGAAACGCATCGCCCATAAACACCTTGTATAACGATGCAAATGCAATTCCAAACGGCTGAAATGTTCGCAGAAGAATTTTGGCTGGTTATTAATGACAGGTGTGCTTTTTCTGGTTTGTTTTCTCACGCAGACGATGGCCGATCACGACCTGGTTCTGAAATGCTGGGGGGGCGTAGAGGCCGACTTCGAGGGTCACGGAGGAGAAGTTCTGACCCGGTCAGTCCCGACGCGATCCTGATTAACGTCACTGTGGTCTGCTGAGGCCTGCCTGATGTTCTCTGTCTCTTCAGTTTGTTTAAGGAGCATCCGGAGACTCTGAAGCTGTTCCCGAAGTTTGTGGGCATCGCTCAGTCTGATCTGGTGGGAAACGCGGCGGTGGCGGCCCACGGCGCGACCGTGCTGAAGAAGCTGGGCGAGCTGCTGAAGGCCAGAGGAGATCACGCCGCCCTCCTCAAACCGCTGGCCACCACACACGCCAACACGCACAAGGTCGCCCTCAACAACTTCAGGGTAACACGGGACACTTTCAGTCACAGTCTGACCTTCATTTCTGACTTCTGTTTCCAAACCTAGTGAATGGACTCACTGACTACATAGACAGCATCCTAACTGAACCAGCACCTCATAAGTGACTGATTTTAGTTGTTGTACATACATACATACATATATATATAATATTATATATATGTTGTATAATAAAAAAAAAATAAAAAAAAAAATAAAA